GCTCAGCGCTCAGTGGAAACTCCTCACCGTGGCTATTAAGTAGGGCTTTGGCATCACTCGTCTGGCTTTCGTAGCGAACACCACGCCGCCTATGAGGAACACGCAGGAGAAGAGGTCGTTGAAGAGGTCCTGAAAGGGGAAAAGATACGCTGGTCTTAAAAAGTTGTGTCCCATCCGCCCCAGACACAGCACAGTTCCCTCCATATAACCGTGCTCAAATGCCCGCCCCACCCATCCCGATAATTTAAAACAAAATATACAAAGGTAAATATGCTTCTGGCCAAGCAGATCAACCATGGCTCCCTGCTGGCCTCTGTGAGTAGAGAACAGAGTCCACAGACATAACTGCCGTCAGCCCAGGCGAGACACAAAATACCAGGTGCGTGGTGCCAAACAATAACCATGTAAATAAATGCATAAACAGACGGCTTCACGGGATCTGTTAGGTTCTTCCCCTCTTCATTTCTGTACTGTCCTCCCCAGAGTTTCCACGAGCAGTGTTGCTGGGAGGATGTCCTTGCTCTCTGGGAGCCTTGAAGTTCCCTCTTCACCTAACCCTGCCTTACCCCCTGGACCACACTCCCTGATTGCTTCCTCTTTCATCAATTTTTTTTTTCTTTCATTCCTTGGCGATCTGGTCCTCCTTTACCACGTACAAGCTCTCTTCTCCCAACACAGAATAAAACCAACCAAAATTTTAAGTAGTTATGCCTCTTTCCCCATTTTCTGTTAGTTATTTTTTTCATAGAATGTCTAAATTTTAAGTTGTTTTTAATTTTAGTGGGATGTATAATCACTCCTGGCAACATTCCTAGTAACTCTCATTGAATATTCTGTCCAACTGTCTTTATAAAAAGTTTTGCTTATTTTCATTTTGTGTCTATGAGTGTGTTGCCTGCATGTATGTAATCTGCCAAATGTGTGTAGTGCCTGAGAAGGCCAGAGAGGGCACTGGATTCCCTGGATCTAGCTACAGCAGCTTGTGGGGTGTTTGGGTGCTGGGAACCCAGCTGGGTCCTCTGCAGAAACAGCCAGTGCTCTTAACTGCTTAGCCTACTGTCTGGCTGCTGTCCCCGTGTTTTCAATGCTGCCTCTGTCATATGTAAGTCACAGGAAGAGTGTAAGTCTGAATCCTCTGATCTACGTCTATGTTAGCACACCATTATAAAACACAGTAGGCTGGGTGGCTTAAACTACAGATGTTTATCCTCTGGCCTTCTGGAGACTAGAAGACCAGGAGCAAGGCACCAGAGCCCTCTCCCTGGCTAGAGGCAGCGGCCTTTCTCTCTCTATCTTTGTATGACCTTCCATTGGAGACAGGTCATAGAACCTGTCTCTTCCTATAATGATACTAATGGTGTTGGATCAGGGTCCCAACCTTAAGTTTTATGTTTATTCTAAGTTGCTTCCTCAAAGGTTCTATCTCAGGGAGTGGGACATAAACATCTTGGAAGGACACAAACATTCCATTTGTAACAATTCCATTAGTTAATCCATGATCTAGCACCAAAATTTAGGGTAACTCTTGCATTTGGTTGGGCAAATCTATTTTGGTTATTCTTTTCATTTTTCCAAAGAATTTTATTTGTAATGTTTTTATTAGCTCATATTAGTTATACTTAATAATGGGCCCATTATATTTTATTTAATAAGTATTTGTTTTTATTTTATTTGCATTGGTGTTTTGCCTGCATGAATGTCTGTTTGAAGGTATTAGATTTTGGAGCTACAGTTGTTAGATACCATGTAGGTTCTGGGAATTGAATGTGGGTCCTCTGGAAGAATAGTCAGTGCTCTTAACCACTGAGCCATCTCTCCAGCCCCCTCATTATATTTTGAACATGAATAGAAAGGAATTGATCACACACACACACACACACACACACATACACACACACACACACACACACACCGTCACCTTCTCTTTCTCTTTTTTCCCACTTTGGCTATTCTACTTCTTCCCAACTATTCCCATCTTTTCCCTGCCTCCCTGCCCGTGTGTGTGTGTG